AGTGTTAGCTCTCGAAAAATATCGAACTTAGTTTTTTATCTTTTGTTTTCCAAACTAAATTTGATATTTTTCGAGAACTAACAGTTGTAGAAGGCTGAAGATCTACCGTTGTACTTCTCAAGCTAAGAAGTATAGAACTACTTATATGGGAACGGTCCAGCATCACTTTGACGGGAGCACAAGATTTTTTCAATATTTCGATGTCTAGCAGCCAAGGAAAAATTACAGCAACTGCGCATATGAATGTTCATGAATGGTGTATGTCCCTGAGCAAGTTTGGGGAGCGTAAAAAATTTTTGACCGGAGATACGAATTTAGCGGTAATGCCATTTCGTAGATCTTGCTTTGCTCTATTGAATGGTTTCTCTATCGGATGTACATGCACTAGGTTTCGAGAAATAGCAGATCTAGTCTGAAAATATCCGAGAAATTTTGTGCCACCCTAATAAGTACGGACGTTTAACATGCAGTTTTCGAAATTCTAGAAAAATTCGAATAGTTGCGAAGAGGTAGCTTCAAGCTTTTTTTCACATATTAGCTATTTGATATTTTCCGTCTTCAACGATGACTTTAAGGCTATAGCTATCCTTTTAAAATTTGCTTTTTTGACTTTTTAGTCTCGTTTTTAGCCTATAGTGAGTCCACAGACGACTAAATTGGTGGTTAGGTACAACCTCTAGCTACATAGCGAACTCGAGGGAGATTGTGACCTGCTGTTTGTGAACATCTGCAGCCAAAAATGCGAGAAATTTTTGCGCATGGAAGTCAGTTCTTGGACAGTACAGATGATCTGATTTTGAACATCCGCGCCAATGGTTGGAAATTCTATAATTTGTCGTGTGGATGCTAGTCTCACGTCCTACACCGAATTTTCGTTTTTTGGAGCAAATTTCAAACATTCTTGAACAATTCCTCGTCAAAATTTTGATTGGAGCTAAAACAGATTTGACCATTCGATATTTCCTGATTTGCTCTTTCCAATGGTCCCAAATCCTAGATAATTCAATTTTTCAAAATTTCTGCAAAACGTTAGAAACTACCAGCCAGACTCATTACTTAGACAATCCAATAATTTGTTAATAATTTACGGTTTCGGATTGCACTGTTCGAAAAAGTCTTTACGTAAGCGTTGTTCACTCTTCATAACTCTATTTTATGGTTACTACTCCGACAGCAATTGTCGTTCGGACGAACCCAACAGATTAGACCATAGACGCGTAGCCGGTATCACTGTTCCTTTCCATACCTGCGGATTAATGCGAACCCGTTCGCTTAACCCACGAGGAGTCTATGTGATTACGACCATCGTGATCTCGTTCCATGTGGGTTTCTCTCCGAGAAAGTGATATCTCGAAACATTAGAAACTCTTCTTTAGCCAAAGTTTGTCACAAAAGTGGATCGGGCTTATCGGATTCAATGCTTCTACATGGAAGCAGCCAAGGACGTCTCTTCTCCGATGAATGTGTCTGAGATGACGACGGCGAATGTGGAGAGGTTCACTCAAATGCCAATTTGCAGATATGATGTGAGCATTTAGATTTGTCTTATGGGCCAGATTAGAATCCAGAAAACTTACTGGAAAACTCGGTCGTTTCTCGATACTGCTTCGGACAAAAAAATCTTAGAGGACATCACGGCCACTGCCCCGATACATATACTCACACGTAACGGGTGGCTGTAGCACCATCGGACCCCGTGCTCTCATCGTCATCCTCTGTCTAGTTTCTCAGCATGTTTTTCTTTTCAGACCATTTCTCGCGTTTTCTCAATAGCACATGCTTGCTTTCATCACATCTTTTGCAGTTATCTGAAATTAGAAATGGCTTTGCCATTAAGGTTGGACCAGACTTTGCTGGGAAAGCGGCGTACGCGGCGTACGCAGCGTACGCCG